TGCCTACTTAAATCCCTAGAAAGAAAAATGCAAATGAAACTTAATTGGAAATAATACAAAAATCATGGGTGGTGGTGTATAGGATATTTCCATATGATTTGTTTAGAAGAATACAGAAACCAAGATCAAAATCTGTTTCCTGCCTTTTTTTAAAACGAAAATAATTAATTTAAAACCGAATTTCCTTAGGATAGGGACTATTCAAATTCTCTGTCCAAATCATGTTATTTAAAAACCAGCAAACAAAAACAACAACAACAAAATCCAAAATTCAACAGAAGATGATGTGTGGCCCTGTGCCCTTAACTTCGTAATTCTTCTGATTTACCCACTTTAGGCTATTTTGGGTGGAGTGACTCTAGCTGTCAGTTTGGTCAGGCCCTGTTCTGTGGACTAAGTGAATGGGCCCTCCCTATGCTGCCCAGTGCACCAGCCAGCGCTCTGGAACATGATAGAACATGCATGGATCTTACACTTATTAGTTAGGACTTGGGGCCTCCAACTATTTCAGAACTTCAATATCTATTAATATACTGTGGCAGAGTAGAACTGCCATCTGCTGACAAGACGGATTTGATAACACAAAAGTAAAGCTTTGATAATTTGAAATTTCTTTTTCATTTTTCATGCAGGCCTTTAAAGCTTGCCATAGATAGGTGACTAATAGACTTTCTTTAAAATAATATGCTCACGTTATCTTTTAAGCTACACAATATAAAAGTTATGTTCATGGCTACTTCTAAATTGTAATAAATAATCCAGATTACTGAAACCAATGGTCACTGTCTCACATGGATGAGTTTACTAGCAATTTTGAATATCCAAAATGAAATACTAACAAATCTATGGACTCCAAGTTAATTCAGTCCCATATAGATTTTTTTCTACTATATGTTGACTATGTATTTATCACCTAAGCCAACAAAATATTTATCACTGACAAAGTCTTTGTGTGTGTTACTCTAGGCCTCTAGAATGAACCCGTGCATGTCCAATGCAGCGTAATCCCCTTCCCAAAGAAACTCCACGGCCACAGAGTCAACTCCAAGCAAAAGCCAACTCTACGCAGAGATCCAGTTTAAGAGCACATCAGAATGCTGCCATGTTAAATATGTGTTCATCCACTATATTTGTGATCAAAACTGCAGTGTTTTTTCTAAAAGACAGCCATGCCAAACAGGGTCTTTTCAGCTGTCTTCTAAAGATCCATCCATATTTCGCTAACTTAAGCAGTAATTTATCCATGCTAAATAAAAAGATCTGTGAATTACTTTGGTGGGTAATGGAATCAATACTGAACTGAGTAGATCTGTTTTCTGCTGTAAATGCTGTCTCAATCAAATCACAAGGTCTTATTTCAACCCCTGTGGTTCATTAAAAGAACCAGATGGACACTGTTTTTTCCAGATTATGCTAGGATAACTTCATTTATTCATTCAACAAGTATTTATTGAGACAATTTTTTTAAAGCTCTGTACTGGATTACAGCTCTGAATAAAGCACCTTACATTTTTTAGAGAGGTACAGTAAGACATGTTTAGTTTCTGCTAAGTACCATGAAGAATAAAGAAGTGGGAAAAAAAAGTGACAAAGATCTTGGTTGCTTAGGGAGGTAACATTTGCGGTGGGAGTAGAAAGGCATAAGTAAATGTGTCACCAGGTAAAGTTCTAGAGGAACAGCTCAACTGTAACAAAAAACCAACTCTTTCAAATGAAAGTATTTCAACTTCAACAGCATCTAAGCAGTATAGAGGAAAACATTCCTTGAAAACTCATGAGAAAATACCAAGAAAAACCAGTATTTTTGTTTCCTCTTTCCTGGTACAAGATTTGGTTACAAAGTACTGCAGAAAGAAGCAAAGCAACATTGTAAATGCAGCAGAAAAAGTAACTGATTCAAAAATGAGAAATCTCAAATTCAATACCCAGTTCTAACATTTACTTAAGGAATCTGGCTTTTGGCAAATCCAATTCTATGACCACGTGTCCATATCTGTAAAATGGGGAATCTCACTCGCCCTGTCTACCCAGGATTAGTTAGTCACCAAATACATTCCATGGCAGATCACGATAACTGTCCTCAAAGAACTTCCAGGCTTACTGTGCAAACTTCATACATACTAGGAACAATGGTCGAGATTTCATTTTAGAATTGGAAGAGACCTTAAATGATCTTGTTCAACATTTACATGAGAAATCCAAGACCCAGGAAAGGAGGCGACTTGCTCAACGTTACATAAATATATTGTGGCAGAATCAGTGTGGCATTTAAGTTTTCTAAATACTAAGTCCAGCATTCTTTCCCCTAAACCACACAGCCTTTACCACTCCTTGAAAGCTAGCCCACAATGTAAACACTACAGAATCTATTCTAACTTTCTCTACATGCAGATCCAGAATGATAAAACTAACCCCCCCAGACATGAAAATACAGTTAAGTATCTACATTGATTTCTGAGTTTGACACCTTACATAATTTGACAATAGAATTGAATTTAAGAAATGTCAAACTGATACTTTGGAGTTACATGATTAGAATGCAAGGATTAAAATTAGCAGATGCCTTAGAAATATTCATGTACTAAATGACTGCCTATTTGGTCCACGGTTGGAATATTTTTGTTTAATATCATTTCTAGTTCTCGTCATATAAAGATGACTCAATCATATTGTTATTTGAGAATTATACAATATGTTTCCTTAATTCAAAAGGCAATATAGCACTTATAACTGATCGTCTTTTTCTGGTCCCTTAAAATGATTTTACTCAAGAAATGATATCTAAACTGAGAAAAAGTTATCACAACCCCATGGCTTATATAACAGTTTTAATGTGTGCAAATGAGGAATAGGATGAAAATTATGTAATAGCCTCAACCTTCGAAAAGTCATAATTCAATCTTTTAACACAAAAATAGAGTATTAAAAATTTAATAACAAAAAAGAATGAAAAGAAATGACTGCCTAATACTGAAAGAACTTCATTAAAATAAAAATCTCTATTTCTCAGGAGCATTCTAGAGATGCTAAAAGAAGGTTGAAATATTAACTTGAAAGAAGTGGCATGGCTTTGGGAGAAGAACAGCAAAATGAGAAATGTCTTAGTAACTTTCATTCTTCCATAAACCAAGAATGTAAAACGCTTTGGAAAGCAATGTGCAATAACTAAGGTTACTGTGGGAATCAAGTGCAAAAATGATCTGTGAAAGAATCTGGTAGACCAGCAAGCACAAGTTATTATTATATAACCATTTGTAGTCTACAAGCATAGCATTTCACCACAGAGTAGACGTAAATGCTTATTTAAAAACTGCAATTCTTGTACACTGACTCACTGAATTTTTATTCTTAAAAAAGAATGTTAGCCATGAAAGTTTGATCAACTATCCACTTCTGACAAAGGAATTTATCATAGCCTCAATAGGAAAGAAACACACACACACCTTTTCAAAACACTGATCTTCTTTTAGCCAGGTGACCTTAAAACAGGTCGGTATTCCTCTCTGGAATTCTATTTCCTAGTACTATGTGTCTGGTATCTTGTTGATTATTTTGCAAAGATTACTTAATAGAAAGCCATACAAACTAACGTACATACTTGAGTATAAGCCAACCCAATAATCAGCCAAGACACCTAATTTTACCACAATAACTGCATTAGAAATGTGCTGAAAAACTTGGCTTATACATGAGTATTTACTGTATTATCTGAGGTAGAAATTACCAGCCATATCGCACAGCTCAGGAAACTATAGAGTTCAAACGGGTTAGTTAGAACACCAAATTACATAGCAAATGCGGCATTTCTGCCTGATATATTGAAACTTTCCTCTAACTCTAAAGACCCTGCTTTCCCCATTATGCTACCTTGTCCAAAACAAAACGGTTGTTCTTATGAATTCCAAGTGTACCAAAAAAAACAGTCAGTAATCCATTATTCTCCTCAAACATGAATAGGGGAAAATATTCACTTGGTGAATGTTAACTATCTCACTCGTTTTAACGTGGAGTTACTTAAAAGTAATTTTAGATATGTACAGTAGAGCTAATTCATTGCGGTTTTATTATATGGGATATGCTGTACAAAGATATCAATACATTTAAAAAAATAAGTATATAAAATGATACATATGAAAGTATATAAATAAGCACATAAAATGATTTAAAATAAGTATATAAAATGATAGCTACTTGACATACTCCATTTTCATCCGTTTTTTTAAATGAAAAAACACACAATTCTAAAGTGTGTCTTTAAAGTACATAAACACACTGATTTTACTTTGCTAAATTTCTGTCCCAATGGCCAGTCTATGAATGTGTAAAGCAACAATTTACTTAAAGTTATTGCAGAATCTGAGGATTCAGGTTTTCTAACAATTTATAATCTGGTGATACAAGCTAGTTATCTCAGAGAGCCTCAGTTACCTCCTCAGGATATGCTACTTGAAACATCTTTTCATCAAAGTATGCCATCTAAATTATGCCCACGCAAGGCAGATCATTTAACAAGACCAGTACGGCTCTATGGAATCGGAGAAACTCCTTGCGTAGGCACTATTTCCGACTTCATCTGTTATTTTAACAAGCATTTATTGAGGGCCCACTATGTGCCAGGACTGAACTTTATGTCGAATACAATCTTTGACCTTTAGAAGCACAACGTCTCAAAAACGGAAACCCCAAGAGGGGCACGATCTTTGCTGCGTTTACCATTTACAGCAAGGAGAACTGTGCACCCCGCTTTCTCACCAACTCATCCTGCGATCTGAAGCGACTCAAATGCAGACACCTGAGTATCAAATGCAAGCTCAAGGGGGTCAAAGTGAGGGAATGGAGGGAACTATCCCAGAGCACCTGAGGGTGGACACATCTCACCCTATGTCTAAACCGTAGTGGGGACTCCCGGATCGACCCCGCCAGGGAGACGCCTCCAGAGCCGGGATCCCGCAGAGGCGGAGGCGAGGATGAGCCAGCGCTCGGGGCCGTGTCTCGCTCACCTCTTCCACCTCGATCTCCTTGTAGTCGATCTCTTCAAAGTTCAGGACTTGAGTAGGGGCTTCGATCATTTCACCGGCCGAAGAAGAGGAGGAGGAGGAGGCGGCAGAGGCTGTAGACATGATCCCGCGCGGCACCCGGGGGGGCCGAGAAGGCCGCCACCCGGACACTGCGGGGGAGACCCGCGCCCACCCGCCTCCGCACCGACCTTCAGCCTGGAGCGGCCCGGCCCGGCCACCCGGTGCTCCGTGGCGGGGGCAGGGACGGCGGCCGCGGCCGTGTCCCGGCTCCGGCTCCGCTGCGTTTTCCGCCGCCGGGCCCCGCCCACCCCACTTCCGATTCCGGTCTGCGACCGGAACCCGGGGGAGGGCCGCGGGCTGGGCGAGGGAAAGTTGGGACTAGGAAAGAGGAAGAAGATCCGGCCGGGCGCACGGGGTCAGGGGCACGGGGAGGGGACAGGCTACCTGGACCCTGGAAAACAAACTTCGCGAAATCCGTGTTCGGGAGATCCCGGCTCCGGGCGATACCGCGAGAACTGACGCGCTGACATAATTTATATGCGCGAGCGGAAGTGACGCAAACCCTCCTGACCGTGAGTGCGGTTGGCCCTTTAAGGACCCGCGGGAAAGATGAAAACTAGGGTTTCGTGTCTGTTCGGTGAGCTGTCTTGTAGACCCACCTCATTTTCCTTTGGCAGCCGACTGCATTGGACCAAGTTTGGGCGACGAAGCCCGAAGCTACACTGGACTGTCTATCAGAAGCCTCGCAGCATGTGTTTCCTTCTTGTGAAGGAAGTCGTTGCTTCTGTCACTTTAAGGCTTCCCTGGAACTGCAGGGCCAGTAGGCACGTTCAACGGAATACTCAAGAAGCGAAGACAATATTTTAGTGAACTAAAATGAACACAAATTAGTTAGACAAGGTGTCTATAACTGTAATTTGTCTCAGAATGCCATGTTTATTTCATGGTCTATTTCACAGTACAGATTATACACCGAAGGTATCGAGTGGGAAGAAAAATGGGCCATTCTCCTGAAAAGATTTAAAGTCTTGGAAACCCAAAGGGGCAGTTCTGCTCTATTCTGTAGGGTCGCTGTGCGTCCGGAATCCTCTCAGGGCAGTGAGTCTGGTTTTTGAGTTATGCACTTGAGTGAAATACTTTATAACAGAAATGATGCATGTACTTTACAGTGGATGTGACAAGTTAATTGTGCCTGTGGCCGTTTTCGGTAAATAGATTAAAATAATTTCCTACTCAGAAGCTACGCCAGTGTGCATCCAAGGCCAATCTATTGACCATGCTATTTGACGACTAACCAAAAGGCCAGCCCCTGGAGCCCCCCACCCCCCAGTAGCAACACGAAAGACACGCCTGGTGATGTGCTTCAGGACAAGTGAAAACAAAAGCCTGTTGCCATGACGTAGTTTTGACTCTTGGTGACTCTGTGGCACAAATTGTTTGAAGTGGACAAACCTAGAGGTGTATTTGTCACTGACTGTGGTGCTGTCGTGTGGATTCCCCCTCATAATGACCCTGAACAGAGCAGAATAGAACTGCCTTGGTGGGTTTCCGAGACTGCAACTCGTTACAAAAGTAGAAAGCTTCGTGGTTTTCGTTGGAGCAGAAAGCGCTGGTGGTTTCAAACTGCTCACTTTAGGTTTGAAGCCCAACGCATCACCAGCTATGCAACCAGAAAGCCTGGTGAAATTCTCTGCCAGGGTCACACGTCAACCCCACTGCCATGAAGTCAATTAAGACTATAAGGACCCTTGTAGGGCAGCATAGGGTTTCCAAGGAAGCAAATCTTTAGGAGAGCAGACAGCTTCATTTTTCTCTCCCAGAGCAGCTGATGGACTTGAACTAATGAATGACTGTGTGGTCAGCAGCCCCATACTTAACTTACTGTGCCACCAGGGGGGTTTTCTGTCAGGATTTATGTAAAGAAACCCCTCTGAAACTCTTCTATGCTTGTACATGGGATGTGAGAGTTGGAATGAAGGCTATGTGCTGGGATTTTTGTTTGTGTTTCTCCCCACCACACACACACTTTGGAACGCTGCATGAAGAGACTACAGATGGAAGACTGCGTGTCAGATTCTAAGTCTCAGCAATAGAAAAGGAACAGTCTACAAAGGACAGTGAGGAGAGTGGTGACCTGATGGCACGGGAAGAGAGATGTTCCGTGAAGTAGTCAACCAAATAAATAGTGTCTGTAAATAGGTAGTTAAACACAGTTATCATGATAAATACACATTGGTCTTTGGATTTAGCAATCGGGATTTTATGAACTAGAAAGCACCTGTCATTTCTAATGTGTAATCCCAGGAACACACCAGGAGCCTGGTTGTGTATAGGTTACGCACTGGGCTGCTAACCACGAGGTGAGCTGCTCTGCAGGAAAATGAGGTTTTCTACTCCTGTAAAGAGTTACAGTCTCAGAAACGCAAAGGGGCAGTTCCACCTTGTCCTTTAGGGTCACTGAGTCCACACGCTGGCGGTGAGTGGGGTTTGGGCTTTGGAGTGACCCTCCAGACACTTTGATTATTTTGTTCATTGTCTTCATAACATTCATCAAAACGTGTATTTTGTTATATTTTTTTATTGTCAGGATCATTATGAACCTGTGTATATCTGACCTTCACAATCACTTAGTAAATATTATTGAATGAATGGCTGCAGTGAAATTATGCGGTTGCTAATAATATACGTTAACTCTATATCTAGAGATATCAATATGGAAAGGTACTCATACTATTTTAAAATTTAAAAAATGAAATGTTAACAGTATGTAGAATATGATCTTATTTCATATATGTGTATGTATTTATATCCTTGGGGAAATAATTGCGATATATATATAGGAACTTTCATTCCTTTAATTCATTCTATACAGTGCTTAACGTTTGAAGTTTTCATTGTAAGATGTATCCAAATAAATTAATCAGAAAGTAGGCCTACTTGGGAATTTTGCAGGTCAACTCATCCATTTTATTACCCTAAATTAGTATAATCATTAAATATTCCAAAATAAGGCTAAAATTCTCATTCTCACAGATGTCTTGGATAACAGATTACACCAACTTCATCGATCATCTTCATGGATATTTCACCACTATGAAAAATAAAATGTCTCCCCCTTTCAGCATCATATAAAATGTGCATAACTAATGTTGAAAACCAAATGTATAAGGTCAAGCAAGATTAATTTTGGTTTATTGTTAAGTGCTGTATAGTTGGTTCCGACTCACAGTAACCCTATGCACAACAGAAAGAAGCACTACCCAGTCTTGCGCCATCATCATTTTATATTGGAGCCCATTGTCACAGGATCAATCCTTTACTTTTCCTCTTTTCTGCTGACTCTTTAGTTTACCAAGTCTGATGTCCTTTTCCAGGGACTTGCCCCTCCTTGGAACTTGTCTACAGTCAACGAGGCAAAGTCTCCATATCCTTGCTTCTAAAGAGCATTTCAGTTGTACTTTCTCCATGGTAGATTTATTTGTTCTGGACTGGTAGTTCATGGGAAGTACAAAATACTACCTCGACACCATAATTACCATACATCAATTCTTCTGGCCTCTTTCTTATGTATTGTCTTGTCACGTGATTGAAACTACCATGGCTTTGATCACTATAGTTCTCAAGGTGACGTCTTTGCTTTTTAAACTTTAAAGAAGCCTTGTGCAGCAGATTTGCCTAATGCAATACATAATTTTGTTTCTTTACTGCTGCTTCTATGCAAATTGATCATGGAGCCAAGTAAAATGAAATCCATGACAACTTCAACATTTTCTCCCATGATGTTTCCTGTGGGTCTAATTTTGCATTGTTTTGTTTTCTTTACAATGAACGGTAATCTATACTGAAAGCTGTAGACTTGGCTCTTTATCAGTGAGGTTTATTAACAACCTGTGATATGCAGGTGACACAACCTTGCATGTTGAAAGTGAGGAGGAATTGAAGCACGTGGTGATAAAGATCAAGGATTTCAGCCTTTAGTGTGGATTAGGACACAACATGAAGATCAAAATCCTCCCAACTAGACCAATAGAGTGACATCTTGCTCAGTGGAGAAGAGGCTGAAGTTGTCAAAGATTCTGTCTGGTTTGGGTCCACAAGCTGTGCTCTTGGAAGTGGCAGTCAGAGATCAGTTCTTTCTGGATGTGCTTTAACACCTAAACTCTGATTCAGTATAGAAAGATGTCAATATAAAAAGGATAACAGATTGGGGAAAAAAGTGTGCTGAAAAACAAAAGTGTGCTGTTATTTAAAAGGACATGTGAAATGGTCTCAAAATGCTTCCACACCTAAGCAACATTTTTAAAACCCCACTGCTCTTGAGTCTATGCTGATTCATAGCAGCCCAATAGGACAGGGTAGAACTGCCCTGTGGTCTCTCGACACTGTATCTCTTCATAGGAATGGAAGGCCTCATCTTTCTCCCAGGGAGAAGTGGATGGTTTCAAACTCTTAACCTAGGGATTAGCAGCTCAATGTGTCACCCACTACACTACCAGGCTCCATTCTCTATAGACAGTCACTTCTATCGTTTTAGAGAAAATCTCAAGTTCTTTATTAGATAGTTCCTTTTTTAACATATATAATTAAAGTGGCATATTTTCCTTCTGATAAGAAACCGTTGTCCCAGTTTATCTGAGAGTGGACACCATAAGGTACATTGGTCTAGCCATTGTACCTTGTGGGAGTCTGCACGTCCCTCAGACCATAACCAACGCCATCTGCTATCTTTGAACTTCCCGTTCCCAGATATTTCTTGGCTTGTTGTCTTGCCTAAAGTTTATTAATTACTTGACCTTTGTAATGATTGGTGCTCAGTGACAGGCAGCTACCATACTCATTGGACAACACATGCCTGGCGGCACTTCTGCCAGGCGTCCAAGTGCACCTCATTAGCATGCGGACCTGTTTGAGGACTGATGCCCGCCATTTCTTCCATATTTGGTATTTGCGTGATTATTGGATACTACCAGTTACACCTTATTTGCATATGATGTAATGTTACCCGCCCACCATTGGGTATTTAGGCCTCTGCCTTCTGCTCAATAAACGAGGCTTAATCAGACTCCTGTCTTGTCACCATTTCTCGCGTCTCTTGCCCCTCTTCATTCCCAGTCCCTTTTTCAGGTATCCACGTTGTTTG